GCCCTCCTGACCAGCTTGTTCAGTCTACTCCTGTCCCGCTCTGTGCTGCCCGGGGCCCAGCACACGGGAACTATGGCAGAGGCTACCACAGAGTCATAAAAAGTCCTGAGCAGAGGCCTGCTCACTCCGAAAGACCACAGCCTCCTCAGAAGGTAGAGACAACTTTGGCCCTTCTTGTACAGGGCGTTGGTGTTATGATAGCCGAAACCGGAGCACCCGGAGGAACCTTACACAGACGCGGGGAGAACCTGCAAACTCCACACAGAAAGTTTAATCATGCAGTACTTGGTTTATGATTGATGATTTGTCTGAACTTGTGTCTTCGTGAGCCTTCTCATGGTCTCAGCTCAGACCCCTATCATAGGAAGAGACTCTCTGTGGTCTGTATGATTTTCAAAGGTGATGACCAGGCCTGTGCCATCTCCGCAATATGCTGTTAGCTGATTAAAGAGTTCTTCTCAAATGCAATAAAATGTTTACTATCCATTTACCTATAAAAATTGAATATTTCCGCTCCCCCATTAGTTTAACACAACAGTAATAGAGAGAAGATTGACAGGCGGCTATTATTATTCCTCCTCCTAATCATACGACTGCCAATAGGGATAAAGATGTTTATGGGGAAAGGCCTACTACCTGAGGGGACGAGCAGGGGCTAATAACCCTGTGTACTGATTGTGCATGCCGGTGTGATAGTGTGTGTATGATGCAAACCCAAGTGTGATCTTATCTCATAAAGAGCCTTATAAATGTACAGCAATCTCGTGTCACATAAAGAAGCACACTGATTTATTCCTATTGATCATGTGCTCAGGGCTGCCACAGTCTCGTAACGGAAATCAACACTTCCTCCCGGCACAGAGCGGCCTCAGCGTGGTCGGATTAAAAGGCAATTTATGCACGATTTCTCACGCTTCACTTGAAAGTAACTCAGCGAGAAGAAATGCAACAACGTTTAGCCCAGGACAGACGCATGAATATTGCAATAGGAGGCGGAAAAACTTTGAAAACAAGTGACAAGTGTTTTCTTGAGCCACGCCGGACAATGACCCTCAGTGTCGTCTCTGCGTGGCGCCCCCCGGAGGTGTCATAAGAACTGGCCGGGGAGCTTTGCCTGGGATGACAGAGTGCCAGACTGAGGGCCCACCAGGACCTAATTTCCCCCGGTGGAAATGGAGAGCACGTCCACACGCCGTAGCTTAGTTTAAAATGCAAAATGTGGACATTATCTGGCGTCGAGATTCAGCGGCATCCATCACGCTATGCTAATTTGGGCCCAGTGGTTAAGATATTCTAATGTAAGCCACCCTGGAGATGTAGAGGAATTAACACAAACAGAAGCAGGGGCGGCGGGAACACAGAGGGGTCAGCAGATAGGACGGAGGAGAAGAGACGGGAGACAGGCACTGCGCCACACACGCACTGCACACACACATAAACACACACACACACACACACACACACACACACACACACACACACACACACACACACACACACACCTCACAGCCCCATGCCAACCCTCTCCAATACAAGCACCAACTTCGGCATCAACTTTACAAAATGTTACTGCTTTGACAGGTGACTTCGCAATAGTAATAGCTTGCACTCGAAACTCCAAAAAGTGTCTATGGGTATTTTTGGTCTTTTAATCAATATAGAACATTAAAAAAAAACTTAAAGAACTGTCAGAAAATATGTATCTTCATCACAGGATTTTGCTCAAAGGTAAATGAATGTGGCTTTTCAGGCCATTCATCAAAATTTGAGCATTTCACAATTTTTCTAGTTACATTATGTTTTAGTGATCTGATGGATTCTTCTTGATGCATTTAATTGCAGCGTGTGTTGATGACGCCTGGTCTGACAAACAGATCTTCTATTGCAAGTATTATGTAATGCACATTCATGTCACACAATTATATTACACTTTAAAAAAAAACTGTTGTAAACACAGAGCCTTTTTTTTTTTTTAGAGTTGTTGACAGTTTGGATTAAGTAGTGGTTGTTGAAGTGGGTTTTCTTTTCTATCAACAAATCATTAACCAATAGTGTATAATCCACACTGGGACTGGGGGATGGGATGGTCCCGACTGTAAAATTGGCTTGGTTTCAACCACTTTGGTTTAAGTTCATATATATTTCATTTTTTATTATGTGTCTATATTATGTGTCTGTGGAAGATAACCAAAAGGACCAAGTGGCCTAAAATGTACCTCCTTTTCAGATTGGTCGTGCTTATTTAAATTGTACACGTCTTTACAGAAAGCCTTTGAAATGGTACTTGAGTGTCTGGTATCTGTTCTCTGCTGCACACTGGTCTCTCTCCTCTCTCCCCTGTGCCTGAGGCCCCTCCAGAGCTGGTGTCCTGAGCTGAGCTCATTCCCAGCACAGTAAGGCAAGGCATTATTATCATTATAATAATGTGACATTAATTGCTTTTACTTTTTCACTCCATTAAGTGTGCTCTATCTCTTTGGGAGCCTGGCCAGATGGTTTATCACTTCCCTTGCTGTTGGTAGCACCATTAACGCGCTAAGACACTGGGCTATAAAATAATTGCACTGCAGTGTTGGAAATGTTCATCGTGCTAATTGAAAAGTAATTGCGGAGGTATAGTGCAACTGTCACACCATAAAAGGCCTCCACATGAGAGAAAGAGAGGCTCCAGTAAAAGGCTTTTGTTTGCTCTTGTACAGCGCTGGTCAGAGCTCCGGCAGGGCAGGCTTTATGCAGAATGTTAACAGGGCCAATGATCCGTTAAAACGCATTCTTTCAAACTGATGCGTGTAGTAAACACATCACCGACAGGCTCTTTGAACCAGTGATTTATTCACTAATACCCAGCTTTGACTTTGGATTTCTGGGGTTCAGTTTAGCAAACGAGACTGTTGATTAGGAAGAGGTCTCTGACCACTTTCTAGAGTCAAACCTGTTAAAAAAAATAATCTATAAATATAGTAAATATAATAAAAAGTACAATTTTGCCAATGACCTATACTGCTTGTGTCAAGAATGTTGATAAGACAACATTATGGACATGGATGTTGTGCTTATTTGATTTGATAGTTCATATACAACAGGGTAGCATACATTATGTTACTGTAACATGTGCTGTCAAAAGATTTAGATTAAGACAGGATTAAGAGCCCTAAATAGAAGTGCCTGTGAAGAAGTTCCCATGTTTGAACCAGTGGGGCAATTGTCTGTCCAAGCACCCCTATAAAGAAGAGGCCATCTTTGCAGTCTAGCTCCACGTCGTTCTGATTGCGGTAAAAGAAACACACAGTGGAACCCCGGGTGACTTTCCATGAGTTAAAACACAGATTTTTCAATGCTAAATCCACATGTGGGTGGGGGGGGGGGGTTCAAATCGACAACAAGTTCTCAGAGGCAACTCCGGTTGTGATTTTTTATTGAAAATTGAATGGGCTTTGCAATGAGGGAAAGTTTGTAATTGATTGAATAAAAAAGTTACTGGCAGTCCATAATATAGACTGCCTTACTCATGCTAGTGTAAGAAATTGGTCCTTCACAAATCAGGATTTCCCATTGAGATAAACGTGCAGACTCCTTCTGTACCTCAGTAACTGCACGTATTACATTCATGGCAACCCACAACCGTACCATTGACGCGACAAAGCAAGAGGAAAGACTTTAAAACTTCTCTTCTGACTTTCCTCATACTTTTCTTGTGTGCAACTGATGCTAATATATTATTTGTCATAACTCTGCCAATCCGCATGTCTTGTTGCATATAAATCAGCATTACAATTTCAATAACCTCAGCGCCTGTGTTAATGAGCTATGATTTACTTCTAATGAACTTTGCATATTACGTCGCAGAGCGGTGGATGGCTCTGAAATCGTTAAACTATTAATGTAACATTATAAAAAGCCGTTAAGTTGGCAATTAATCAGCTTGAAAAATAAAAGTGAGATTTTACTGCCACATTCATATAGATTTGTGTTTTATCTCTGCAGTTTTGTGATCAGGAGTGAAGTTGTGGACGCCATTTTGATGGATCAGTGTGTGGGTGTGTGTGTGTTTGTGTGCGCGCGCGCGTATTGACGTGTGGCTGTTGTTTGAGGGGAGGCTAAAGGGAAGACCGTTGGGCATTCACCTAAGCCGTCATTACTGAAACAAAGCAGCCTCCCTGTGCTTATCAGCTCCTCATCGACTCCTGCTGTAGCCCCTGTCGCTCGGCCAATCCCGCAGATCGACACCCATCGACTGGGACCATAACGGGACAGTGAACTTGTGCGCTGGGGGTCAGGCTACGGCACAGGGGGGCATGTGTCTGTCCGAGACCCCCACAATCAGACCAATCAATGAGGTGCAAACGAGGCCTCGAACTGCTTTAAGATTAAGAGATGCTTTTTTTGTCCCACAGAGGGTAAATTTCAGTGTTGTATCACGGGTCACAGAACAGTAGGAATTAGGAGCACACAGCACAAGATAAATGAACAATAACTGTGTGCTACAATAAAATAAAAACAAACCATTTTTCATGGTTTGTTGCATTTACATGCATTTGGAATGTAATGGGAAGCCTAGTCCTGTTGGACTTTTCCCTGGACTCTATCTATGCCAAATGTGACATGTAAATGTCTCCATGAGATCAATAAAGTCCATCTTATCTTATCTTGAATTAGTTGACTATTTCAATCATTAATTGGTTGAGATTAATTGACTTGTTTCAGCCATCATTGTGATGAATGTCGTACTTTTCAAAACCACACTCCTTTTGATTATATTTTTCCAATGTTTGTGTAAAGTTTGTTTCTGTTTCATTCCTAGTTTAAATTCTGTCTTGCCCCACTTCTTTTTATGAGGCTCATTTGATTACACTCGAAACAGTTTCTTTTGCAGAATTATTACGATAAACTACAGTCAGTAAACAGAATGATGGAAGTGTCTGACCGTGATCGCAGAACTTCTTCTCTCAATGATTTCAACGACTTGATTCACCTCTGAATGGCAGTTCTGACATTCCAAAATGGCTGACCAATGCGTTGTGGGCTGGGTCAACCCTTCACCTCACATCCCCTCCCAGTGCCTCCTTTATAACGCTTATTTCTTCTCTTTTTCCAAGGTCAATATCGCGAACAATTAGTCTGAGGAGGAGGAGAACAACGTGAAGCATGGTCACCCCATCTCCAAATGCCTCGTGAAGGGCTCCGGGGGGCAGCGGCGCCATGTCAGAACCGAGTGAGAAAGTGTGGCCATTCGCTCTTTATGTCTCCATTTGCCACTCTCATCAGGGTCATTGATAAGCAGTTAGAAGACCCCCATTCGACCACACATCACCCCAGTCAGCTCAGTATTCTCCCACTCGTACATTTAGCCAATCAGGAAAAATAGCATTAAAACCAGTGTGGAGGAAAAATGATGTGAACAGTGGTCCTTGCTATAACACGGTTCATCTTTCGCAGTTTTGCTGATTTTTTTTTGCATGCTTTTTTTTACAGTGTGCCTCAACAACATCATATAAATAATTACCTTTATTTAACACTAGAGCAGTCAATTTGATGTCACTTAATGTACTTAATGTATGTACCCTGGTCTCTCTCTAATCACTCTCTCTGATCTCTCTCTCTCTGGTCTCTCTGGTTTCTCTCTAGTCTCTCTCTGGTCTATCTCTCTAGTCTCTCGCTGGTCTATCTCTCTAGTCTATCTCTAGTCTTTCTCTGGTCTATCTTTCTGGTCTCACTCTGGTCTCACTCTGGTCTCACTCTGGTCTCACTCTGGTCTCACTCTGGTCTCACTCTGGTCTCACTCTGGTCTCTCTCTGGTCTCTCTCTGGTCTCTCTCTGGTCTCTCTCTGGTCTCTCTCTGGTCTCTCTCTGGTCTCTCTCTGGTCTCTCTCTGGTCTCTCTCTGGTTCCTCTCTGGTCCCTCTCTGGTCCCTCTCTGGTCCCTCTCTGGTCTTCCCTCTGTCCTACTCCTGCCCTTCAGTGTAGTGCCCTCTCCAGCTGTATTTTACCATGTATGGATAGCTTTTGACAGCTGCAGCAGCGCTCAGACCTACAACCAACACGTTTGATATCTATGGTCTATCTCACTTCAGCAGTTGTGAGTTCAAGTATGGAAAGTGTCTAAAGTGTGTAAGGGTTTTACAGCCTTAAAACTCAACAAAATATCGCTGCTACTTTGTGGATTTAGTTTATTGTGGGTTATTTATAGAGCATAACCCCCGCGATAAACGAGAGACCACTGTTCTGCGGTCATACTAATGCAGTATTGATTGGTCGCAGCAGCCTCCGCGGCACCAAAACAATAGTCCTGAGATCCAGAGAGCGGTGGACTAAAGCTTCCCATGTGTCTCCCACCTGTTCAGTGACATGTATGATCCAGAGTGCATGAAAGGCCTTTCTCATGTGCACTCAGACTGCACAAGAGGAGGAGGGGGGCTGGGATAGAGATTGCACTGAGGAGAGATACACTGAGGTGGGCATTACTGGAGATTTACTCAAGTAATGGTTTTTTACAATGGAATAATTTTCAGGAGAGTAGTCTTTAGAAAAATGTTACACGTGTTGACTGCAGTACTTAATGGACTATAGTATAAGCCTCTACTTTTTTAAATAACTTGGACCCCTGCAATCGATATTGGAATGTATGTAATTTTAATTTGTAGGGATGGAAGTAGAGTAGACATGTAACATTACTCATACTTATGCATGAATAAGTATAGTAAGTAATCTTTATTTAGCGTAATTTTACCGAGCGCTTTAAAATGTTCAAAGTTCAGATATTTTCTCTCCACACAGCAATGAAGGAAGCGAGAGGCCGAGCACACTGGCGCTTTAAAGCGCCCAGGAGCACCCAGAGGAAGCCTATGCAGACATGGGGAGAACATGCAAACTCCACTCAGATAGACACATACCGACCTTCTTGTTGAGAAGCAAGAGTGCTATCCACTCAGCCACCGTGTAAGTACGTAATCTTAATTTATAGTGCCTTTCACAGACCAGAGTCACAAAGCGCTTTACAATTGTGGGTATTTGTCTTTCACTCCGAGGTTGCTCCCATCTCTGTGCCCAATTAGTCCACTATTCTCCAAAAAACAGTGTTATGGCCTTTGTATAAACATTTACACTTTAAATTCTAGCTTCAAACAACACTTTAAGTTCCATGTCAAATAAAACAAATTTTTCTATATGTTTGAATCACTTTTCTTTGTGACCTCAATGCAAATAAATATGTCAAAAAGAATAGGTATAGTCATTGTATAACTTCTTTACTATACTATTTTCACAGTATTCCAATGATACTTAGGGCGACAGTAGCTCAGTTGGTAGAGCTTTGGGCTTTGAGTCCTTATCCATCGACTCCCACTGTCTGCTGTTGTTGTGTCCTTGGTAAGACACTTAACCTCTGGTAACACCAGCCACAGTGTTCCCAGCCGTTGTGTCTGGTGAATGAGTCTGGTGTGTGTGAATGGTTGGTGGTGGTCGGAGGGGCCGATGGCACATACTGGCTTGCTTCTGTCAGTCTGCCCCAGGGCAGCTGTGGCTACAGTAGTAGTATCACCACTGTGTATGGAGTGAAAGAATAATGACATGTAAAGCGTCTTTGAGTGTCTAGAAAAGCACTATATAAAACCGATTTATTATTATTATGATCGTATTATAGTAATATGTATTATGTGATGTTACAGTTAGATACATTTACCAATCGCAACATAACATAGTTATAGTTACTATTAAATAATTTTAAGCAAAACATATTACACATTATTTTTAGGCCTTAAATGAGGATCAAAATATTTTCAGTATAAGATTTACGGTGAAACGAGTTTGAAGAGTAGAAAATACTCAGCCTGTCCCATCCATATGGCACCACCAGAGGGAGTTGTTGAAATATTTCTTGTTTTTTCCAATTTTGAAACTTACTGGCTGCAAACTCAGACAGAAGATCGTAAAGATTGTTGTTTCACTTGATAAATTGCCATAACTAATTCCTGGGAAATAGTTTTGTTTTACACATTGTAAATCGCTTCGGGCGACCTTGGTCTGTATGCGCTATATAAATAACACTTTACTTACTTTAAATGGCTCAAAACTGCTCTGTGTGTGATGTCATCGTGGTAAAATTAGATTTCACGGCTTTTAGTCATGGAAGCGCAATTACATTTTTGGTCTTCGTAACTTTGTGACTTTCTCCATATCCATCCAAAGTTTATTACTCCCAGAGCAGTCATTTTGACGGTTCTTGATGATTCTGGTCCTGAGCCGAGTCTGTTTGGTTTTCCACCAGAATCAAGTGCTACTGTAGTTATCGTAGCATTAGCCTCTCACCAAAATGTTTTTTTTTTTTCTGTATTTCAAGTTATATTTACCAACTTTAGCACTTATTAAAAGTGAGTAAATGACTTCCACCAGTTTTTATTAAAATTTACTATTTTGGAATTTTTTTATTCAGATTTCCATTGGTTTGAAAGTGATCCATCAAAATGACTGCTCTGGGTGTTCTAGTAGTTTTAGAATTCTTAGTATTTTCAGATGTCTTAGTATTTTCATAAGTCTTATGCAATCATGAATACGGCACAGTGAGACACAAGGCCCACATCCCACAGATCTCTGAAGTAACATTCCATTTATAATTTCACCCGGTGATGTCATCGCAAATACCACATTTATGAGTTTTGTTTTTGTCTGCACAGCTGCCCCATCCTGTTAGCATGGACCACACACACACACATATACACACCCAAACACACACACACACACTCCAAATAAACTCAGGACGGAAACAACAGCAGCTGAAGACCACGTTTTTCAGATCCAAGTGAGTGATTTGCATAGAAAAGTTCATAAGCGCGGGACATAAGGATACGCTCGTAAAATAGGCAGCCTCGTAAAGAATCTAACTACGACAGAATACTAAAAGTGGCCGTAAATCGAAGCCTGACCCTTTCGCTGAGTGACTTCTTTAGCTCTCCTTCCTCCCATGCTTCCTCGTTCTCTCGTTTCCTAGGTGGCAGTGACTGTACACAGAGAATAAACCATCGCTGGGACCACCCCTGACGGGACTCGCTTGTCTCTCACCCCCTCATCGCGCCACATAGTTAAGATTTAAGATAATGACACCACGACTTTCGCGTTTGATGCCGACATTGAATCTTTTTAAGAGGCCTCGCGTGCTGCCGAAGCCGGGGCGAGTCTGTCAGAGCTGGGTGGCAGTGAGCGAGGTCCATGTCTGGAGCTTACCCCCCTCCTCCCCTCTCCACTCCTGCCTCTCTCCATCCTTCCCTCCCTTTCCTCCTCCCCTGTCTTGCCACCACACCACACCTCACTGTATACAATTTACAGGCTTGAATTGATTCAATAGTGTGGAAAGAAAGTTGGAAATGTAAGGGTGAGGGTTAGTATAGTGACTAAGATATGCTGATCTGCATTCTATATGAAATAATATTGTGTTGCTGATTTGAACTTCTGCTCTTGCTGTTTGTGTTTCTACTCTTTAAAAACTATCTATTTAGCAAAACATCTTGAAATCCGGGTACACTTATAAGCGTCTAAGTAAGTAAGTAACGTTTATTTATACAGTGCATTTTCCAGACTACGGTCACCCAAAGCGCTTTACAATGTTCAGAGTTTGCATCAAAGCCTCATTACATTCATACCATTTTTTAGTGATAAGGAAAACCGGAGCCCCTGGAGGAAACCTACACAGACAGAATATGCAACCTTCACACAGATATAGGCCTGGTGGTAGAATGGAGCCCACGATGCCGCACGCTAATTAGCTGCTAATTTACATTGTAGGTTATGGTAATTGTGTTGATACATGATATTATTCAGACCATTTTAATGCCTATATTTGCTACTTAAAGACTGACCATAATGTTGTATTATTTTTAACACTAACACTAACAGCAGTGCATTTGTTTTGTCCCCCCTCCTCTGTCCACTCCTGCCTCCCTCCCTCCCCCCCCCTCTCCTCCCTGTCCCGCCACCTCGCCAGCGAGAAACTGTTCGTAACATCAGGCCCCCCTCACACTTGTCTCAACTCATTTATTTCAGCCAAGGTCTATGGATATAAATAAAAGGAAATGTTACCGGAGCATTTAAAGTCGGCGGCAGCCTTGAGACCGGTAATGTAACCACATATCATCAAAAGTGCTGAATCTCCCTTTGTCACCAACACGAGACGCGCAATCTCTCCAAAACATATTCACACACAAATAAATAATCACCGGGAATAGGAGCGGACACCTCAACGGCCTGCGGTACTGCTGAGAGTCCAGGATTTATAGGCACGTTGCTTCTATACTGCTCCGATTCAAAATAAAATTAGGATGATCTGAGAAATTAGCATTGAAAAGCAATATTCAAACTGTATATTTAATTACATCTTATATTCATTCAACTATTTATGTCTTTTTGAGTTTTAAAGGAAAATGCATGAGGTGTAACAAAAGTTAATACATGAGGAGAGTACAAAAACAACCATAATATTATTTTTTCTTTAACAGGGTTGTCAGAAGAATGGAGAATCAGATATTATTCATTAAGAAAACCAAAACCAATATGATCCTGAATAAATTTCCTCAAAAACAATGTTTTTCCTAAACAGGTTTTTAAAATAATTGAATATTAGAGATATTAAATTAGAGATAGATCTATAATCGCCCTCTGATGTCCTAAAACAGCACTATAATTTTATAGTATTGTTCTGTATGAAAAAATTACAGCTTCATTTTCAGAAAGGAGCATTTTAAAATCAAACTTCAAATTTCTAGTTTTGAACTTATTCAATAGTATTAAAATCAAGATGAAAATGTATTGTTTTTCCATATAAAATCATATGTTGTTGATTCAAACTTCTGCTCTAAATGTTTGTGTTTCTATTGTTTAAAACAAACAAACAAAACATCTATATATATGATAAAAAAAGACTGAAATCAGGTAAAACTTCATTTTAGGTACATTTCAGTGTTGCGTCACAGGTTTCAGAACAGTAGGAGTGAGGAGCATTCAACATAAGATAAGTTAATAATAAGTTTAAAAATAGTGGTCCTCTCTTGGCCAAATGCGACATGTACATTTCTCCATTGTGAGATGAATGAAGTTGATCTTATTTCATTTTATCTTCTAATTCAAAAATCTCTATTTTTAGCTTAATAAAGAAACAATGTTTATACATATAAGACATACAGTACACTAGAGCCAAAAAAATCTGAATTTGGGTGATCAACACATTTAATGAGGAATATTAGTCTCAGAATGTATTATTCTATTTAATACCATATGTATACAAAATAAATCCAACACATAAAGTATTATTACTATTAATTATACTAAGAGTTGTCTAAGAGCTAGACACAATCATCAAAAGAACGACATCTGGCTCCCGAGCCATAGGTTCCAGACCCCTGCTCTAATGCAAACAAATGTATACTTCTATGTTTACAACTGTAGATACATTTGTAATACTCTAGTCCAAGAATATTGAGGTAAGTCATTATCTCTGTGGGTATTCAATACTACTGTACATGTTAGCAGCATCAGCCGAGCCATGTTTTGGCCCAGATATCTTTCAAAATCCGATTAATCGATTCTAAAATTAGTAGACAGCTGTTGAAATAATCGGTTGACTTGTCACTGCCCTGCTTTGAAGTCCTAAGCTGTCTCTTGATGCTGGTGTAGTTCAACAGGTGGTCCATAGATGGAGCTCTTCTCATTAGAATATCCATTAGCTGTTGTCCAGAGCTCACTGTCCCCTGCACACACAGGCCTCTGTGCAGGAGCGAAAGAATATTTAGATCAGAGCATCATTCCAACTCAACGCAATGTGATCCTGGGCCTTACTTAAAACACTCGGCCCCTGGTGAACGTGTGTCAGAGCACAGACCGGCACATCCCTGGAGCGCTATGACTTAATTGAGCTATCCAGGGAAATCTAATTACAATAATGCACTGAGGATTGTGTAATGTTCCCTGTGAGGCCGTTTTTAACACCTCGAAACACGGAGGCGCAGCTGAGGTGAGGAAATAAACTATAAAACATTTGATGGAGGGTGTCTTGATCCGGTTCATAGGATAGTAAAGGTGGGCACGGGGGGAGGCAGGTGGACGGGACAGAACCAGGGGAGTGAGATCATACTAGTCCGATACTGATAGACGTCTGTTACTATAACTAATTCTGACAGATACAGTAACTGGCTGAGTGGAGGTTGTCCTGTCTTTTTCACTTTTCTTTGTACTTTTAATGTTTTTGTTTTGTGTATTGTATTTTAATCTGTTGTACTTTGAGGTTTCCTGAGAATGTAAGGTGCAATATACAGTAAATAAAATGTATTATTATTATTATTACTTTTCTGTCTGAGAAAGCTGATCTAAAGATGTGACAGAAGCCATAAATATGTGAAAAATAGTGAGGTACAAATTTGACTCTGCGACTTTGGTGAGGATTTGAAAAGTTGGTGCTCTAGAGTCATTCATTTCAAGCTTTATCGGACAAACATTTTGCCCTAAAAATCTCATTCAAACATTTTAGAGCGCTCCCAGTGGTCAACTTTTGCTTGATTTAATGTTTTGCTTGACTCGGTTCAGAAATTACACTCCGCGATTTTCAGGCTGATCCGAGCACTAGTGTCCTATTACTTTCTGACAGGTGGCGCTATAGAGTTCATATTGGTGATTTTGGTGTCATTGCGTTCCAAAACACCCAAAACGAAGGCCGTATTCGCCATGGCGTGGGACAAAAACGGTGAAGAATTTCTAACTTTATTTTAAAAGATTATGTAACTTCAATACGTTCAGATTGGGAAATGACGTGGCAGATCTCTGTGTGATGATAAACCAGGGACTACTCCGAATCTAAAAATGAAAAGTCAAATTGGCAGCGAAATTTCGGACCATCATGGCCGACTTCCTGTTGGTCCCAGAGCGAGGCTCCAAGAGAGTTTAAGGCTCGTCTTATAGAGATTTATCACTCATTTCAATTACGTGTACCTACTCCAAAATATGCATGTCTGGCTCCCATTAGCTTTGCTAATTTGAAATTTCCAGGGGATGCTATCAAGTTGTCGTTTGTCGGACATTTTAGACCCCCCATGTGCGAACATTCGTGCATGTCTCCAGGGTGAAAAAAACAAATTCTTTCGGCAAAAAAATAATTGTATGAAACCGGCGAAATAGGTATCCCCAAAACCTCGTATTGGCTCGACCCAATAATATTTTTTTTATTTGTATTGCATTTTTCAAGTGCTGTACAGTCAGCATAAAAAAACAGTGAATAAAAACTGTTGAAAAATTATTGTATGTGTTTGCACTTCCTGAATGTCCTTCTGGTTCATCCAATTGAAATGTGAAAACACCTCTCAGGAGGAAACCTACACAGACACGGGGAGAACATGCAAAGGCCACATAGAAAAGCCCTGTCTGGAGTTGTAATGTTCTTGGTGGTGAACCTTCTTGCTTTGACCACTGCGACAGACATGGATCAGCTAAGATTGTGTAATATTTCATGTTTAGATTGAGAGAGTAGAGTTTATTATGCATTTATTGTTTTTTATCTTAAATAATAGATTCATTTCTTGTATCTTGTTTGCTTATCCTGAGTGCTCTTACTTCTACTGTCCTGAAATTTCCCCACAGTGGGCCAAAGAAACGTTCTCTTATGTTGTCTTGTAGCACAAGGTATCATGCAGAAAACATAAAATGTTCTAAGTACGTCATCATCATTATTCAACAATCATTTTCTTGTTACATCTGAGAAAGTAGATTGCCTTTTCCCCCTCAGGCAATTGAATAACCCAAATCTGTGCACAAACGCGGCTGTTATTCAAATGAACCTCTGGACAGATGTCTATTTAAACTTTGCAAGCACTTATACGCAGCACTCCACTGAGTTTTTATTTTCTAATCTCTTCATTTCTCTTTTTTTTAGCTAAAGTTGCAATTAAGCAGAAGCGCTGAGTGGAGGCAGAACAAATGAGAATAATGTTAGAACAGAGCCACAGTCCATTTGCTGGTGTGATATTACCGCGTACAGCTGGCCAATGATGGCACACATCACACTGGTGGGGTGTTGCGGCCATCACAGCAGCTCCAGTGTGGTTATACGCACTGGATGTATGTCCGCGCTGCCAACACACACATACACATCACTCCGACATGTCGCCGTCGACTAAGTTCAATGATCTGAAATGTGCCCGAAAACGTCAGCCAATACAGTTTTACCATATCTATACACGCCAGGCCACTTTGTAGTTTCACTTATTTTACAGAGTTATTGTGATAATTATAGTTACTGTTTATAGTTTTTGACCATAGACTGTATATAGATGGACAATGCTAACCCACTAGCTCAATGAAGCCTAATAGAGAAGTAAACTCCTCTTGCTCAATAACCATATGTGTCATACTTACCATTTTGGCCTTAGAAAATACGCTCCACATGTCATTATTCTTCCACTCCATACTACGGCTGTGATAAACAACGACTGTAGCCACAGCTGCCTTAGGGCACACTGATAAAAGCATGGCAACCATTATGTGCCACCTGCCCCTCTGACGACCACCAACCATTAAGACTCACACACCAGACTCATTCTAGACAATGTGGCAGAAGTGTCTTGCCCAAGAACTCAACAACAGTTTGGCACTTTACAGCCACTGTGTTATCTGGCGTTCTCATAGGTCTACCATCACGGTACAATCACCAGGACCTGCTCTGCTTAGTTTATGAGGCCTGATATTGCATGACTTTCACATGTAGGTGGGACCACAAAGTTTGAGTTATAGCACAAACTTACTTTTAAAAAAAATCTAGAAAATGTTGCCCAATATTTTTTCTTTTAACAAATTTTACACATTTTCATAATTCAATTGATTGTCGATTCGCCAATTCAGATCAGAGAATCAAACAGTTCCAACACAGGAAATGCAATGATAAAAACACATAGAGCCATTGGTCCATAAGGGGCAGATGACCAGCGTCCTACTGCACTTTGACACCTGATCCTTCCCTTCGTCAGGCCACTTCAGGCCGCGCCGCTGTGATGACGGCGGCGAAAAAAACCGTTGGCGCTGTGCAAATAAGCGCTTTGATTGTGCACAGATAAAACGCATGACGGAAGAATGTGATTTGTGTATAGTTTCTTACGGAGTCAATATATGTGAGCCCTGTTTGTGATTGAGTGCAAGGTCAAAGGGACGCGCGTGAGGCTGGGGTCTGTGGGTGAGGAGGGGTGAGGGGGGAGGCTGCCCAAGGCCACAGCCGCACGCACACAGCCGCACATACACATATAGACATGCAGATACACAGACGCATGCACACACAGGCGCATACAAACCCATGCACGCAGAGACCCACATACATGTACAGGCACACACAGACACATTCAGGCACACACAGACGCATACACACATACAGGCACACGTACACATATACAGGCACCCACATACGCACACACGGACACACACACATGTACACTAGATTCAGGTTAAAATTAATATCAATTTATTTAACTGTTGTTGGGCGATGTCATGTAATTTTATTTATTATTTTTGGGAGATTTCCATTTTTGAGGTTTTGCAGGGACTTTTATGAAATCAACTGGAGAGTAATCCAATCCAATCCATCTTATTTATATAGCACATTTTATGAAGCAAGTCTCCAGAGTGCTACACAGAGATAAAAGATAACACATTCAAATATACAGCAGGTTTGCCAGTTTTACCTGTGCACACACAGACACACACACACACACACACACACACACACACACACACACAGACAGACACACACACACACACATCAAATGATTCTATTGTTGTTGGGCAATGTCATGTAAGGTTATTTATCATTTTTGGGAGATTTCTATTTTTCCTGTTTTATAGGGACTGATTCAGAAATCAACTGGAGTGTATCACCATGTTGCACACACAGACACACACACAATCTCGCACACAGACACAGACACACACACAGACTCGCACACAGACACACACACAGACTCGCACAGACACACACAAAGACACACACAGCCAGGCACAGACACAGACTAGCACACACAGCCACAGACATACACAGGCATACACACATAGACTCGCACACACAGCCACGCACACACACAGCCCCAGACATACACATAGACACACATACAGACTTGCACACAGACGCACACAGACGCACACACACACACAGACACACATGCAGACTCGCACACAGACGCACACACAGATGCGCACATATTGAAATTAGCAAATGGACTCCTCGCTGTCCCCTCTCCTCGGTGATGTACATCTGCGTTGCTAGGGCACACTGGGGAAGAGAATGTCCTAAAACCAAACCTGATCTTATTTATTTACAGCATGTTTTGCGCTCGTCCCATAACATTGTAAATTATTGTCGTGGTCAAGGCTCCTTTCTCAGACAGAGGCGAGCAGAGGACATAAAGCATGCAATCTATACCATATTTAATACAGGAATCACATATGATTTGTCTATTTCCATATATCTCCTTTTACGAGTCATATTTTAAATACAAATTTGGCTTTATGAATAGAAACATTTGAGTTACGAGCGCTCATATGTGTAAAATGATGTGCAATATGTCTATAGGCTCCTGACAATGTCTGGGCAATATTTATGGCACTCCCACAGTAATAGGATAAGGAATCACTCGTTTCCATATTGCTGCTGGATTATAATCTCATCTGCACTAGATTCAGGCTTCTATCAAATGGTTTAATTGCTGTTGGGAGTTGTCATGTAAAGTTATTTATCACTTGTGGGAGATTTCCAGAGAAACATTCTACCATTTTTACTGTTTTGTAGGAACTGTGTGCATTAGAGGAGATTATATGCCTTGGGTAGGAACTGTGCTATACAAATAAACTTGCCTTTCCTACTGTATATAATGCCAAATCTTTAAATCCATATTATAGATTCAGATTCATTTATTTGCCATTTGTAAAGAAATGAATACATGAAAACCACATTGGAATACATTTGCAAAAGTCCCCAGTGTGATCAAGACAAGTACATAAATAAAAGAAACAAAATAGAAAAAAATTGCCTCTGTGAAATCGATCGACTGAAACAGTTTGAATACAAAAACAAGATAATTAAAGTGCTCTGCTTAAACAGCTTGTGGAAAAAATCTGTCCTGCATCTCAGCGAACAATATCTTCTGCCAGAGGGAAGAAGCTGGAACATGGCTTTTCTAGAGTGGTTAGAAGAGTCGTCGATTATTCTAAGAGCTTGGTTTGAAAGTCTCTTCATAAAGTTCTTTTTAAAGAACCTCCAGAACAGGAAGCTCACAGCCCACACTCCTCTTTGCAGAGCGGAGCACCTTGTTTAAAGCTCTCCGTTCTTTCACAAAAATATATCCTTGCTCCTTCTGTCTAAAGGCTCCTGTCTTATGCCACGTTAATGTGATTTTGGGAACTCAACTTAATAGTTTGTTAAAGACGTTAAAGAACAATTGGAATGTAATGTGTGACTTTTCTGCTCCTTTAAACTCTCTTGCAGATGCTACCATTTACATATTCATAACATGTGTTTTAAGAATTATACTGAAAGAATTTATAATTGTCGAAACTCTGCCACAGCCGTTTAATGTCATAGTAAACCTGTGCTTACTGTATCTGTGGGCGAGCCAGAAGAGAATTCCATCAGACCCAAGTCTCCTGGGACTAGACCTGGTCTCTAGCTGCAAAACCTAGGCCTCTTCCATTATAGCAAACAAGTACATTTGCTTTAAGGCCAGTGGAGATTTCTAACCTTTGCTTGACATGCCGAAAAGGTCAAGCCCATCTGTGGCCTCCCCCATGGACTTAAGCCGGACCATTTCTTCCCTCTCCCGACGCCAGGAAATCCAGGGATTCACCAGTCCAATACCAGGGCCATGTCTGTGGCAAATGGCACATGCAACATTTTCAACCACAATCTACAACTCAGACCCCTCCCGCCGCTGGGATCCCCTCACAATCTAGGCTAATAGCAAAAGGCAAAATGAGAGAATTTGAGTTCTCCGGGAATTTCTTTTTCTTCTGATGTGACAAATTAGACAACTCAGTCACCCAAATGTCTTTTTTAAAAATTGTTCTGCCTATTCCTTTTTCAGACCTAATTTTTTTTTTAAATGACCAGTATTGTCAAAAATGTCGGAAATAGAAAAATGAACAGAGACCCATAGGCGTGTCGCAATAATTCTATCAACTCGGAAATCACAACTGTGCTGTCTCATGCAAGTGACAATAGCAGACTAGTCAAATTAAGGTCATCCTCTCAACTCCTCCTGCCGTCTCTGTCTGCCTCATTCCTGACAGTACCACAGACTAGGTCCAAACACTGGGGAGACCGGTCCTTCTCAGTCGCTGGACCCAGACTCTGGAACAAGCTGCCCCCTGATATGCCTATCCTCACTGATTTTGGCCTTTTTAAATTGAGGCTCAAAACTCATTTGTTCAGGCACACTGAATTGGGTGCGTGCATTGGGCGGCACGGTGGCTGAGTGGATAGCACTCTTGCCTCTCAGCAAGAAGGTCCTGGGTTCGAATCCCGGTTGGACCAGGGCCTTTCTGAGTGGAGTTTGCATGTTCTCCCTGTGTCTGCGTAGGTTTCCTCCGGGTGCTCCGGTTTCCCCTACCACTAAAAATATATACAATAGGTCTGGCATGTGCCTCCTGTACTGGCACCCCCACTCCCGAAAATAACAATTGTAAACCGCTTTGAGACTCCGATGTGCAGTGAAAAGGCGGTATATAAATAAAGATTACTTACTTACTACTTACTTACACTTTAAACAGCACGATTACAGTTTTTTAATGCTTTTATAATCCTTTTAAACCGTTTTATTGTTGGTTTGCATAAATGTTTTAGTGGACTCTATGTATGTTTTATTGTAAAGCACTTTGATTGACTTGAGTGTTGTAAAGGGCTCTATAAATAATATTGATTGATTGATAAAAAATAAAATAAAAATTGTAGCTCTGTCAGCGTTTGTATAGTGTAAGGTTCTAGGTTCTCGTGTTTGTGCTCCCCCTCCTGTGTTGCAGGGCAGGTGTGTGGCAGAGGGCGTGGCCGGCTTTACCTGTGCTGCAGACGAAGCACCACTTCTCTACCAAGTAACTGCATGTCAGTCTCTATCTCCGTCTCCAGCTCTGGTATTGTTTATGTCGTACCTGTGTTTTGTGGATTTCCCTTTACTTACCTGCTGCTCCTCGTCTCTTCAGACCCGGTTGTGTCTGCAGTCACCTCTTGGCCTCCACTGCCTGCTCAACTCTTCAGTCTCCTGCCTTCTGATTTGAGGGTTCCATCTTAAAGGAGCAGTATGTAAAAATATGGCCAAACGTGGTACTGCAACCTCTTCCACTCTTCCTGACTCGGGTTGCCAGATATGCCGAAGAATCCAGCTGGGACCATAATAACTGAATACTCAAGAGATTTGTCAACAACAAATCTATAAAAAACACCTTTTTTCACAAAGGCCCGATAGAAATCCTGGTTTTATTCTTTGTTTTGTTATTTATGATTTGAGAATTATAACTAGACCTTTTGTAGTACCGCGGCCACATGTTACTTTACCAGTGAGATTAGCTTGATGCGGTGAGTTTTTGAAATCCAGATCATGGACTTTCTGATTGGTGAAACGGTGGAGGGTGGGACATCGAAATGAAAACACTAACAAGATTTACAGGCTGTAAAACTAATTCTGAGATCCAAATAGCTTGGCTGAACTACAAGTATTTGAAAAGAGCATGTTTTATTGATGCATTTTGACAGATTAGAGACATTTAATGATGACTTGACATGAAAACCTTACATATTGCTACGTTAACCATATTTCTCTTAGCAATAGCACATTTTGATGCACCATATTGAGCTTCAGACAGGGCTAACCACAACCAATTTTGTTTTATTGCCACGCACCATCAAGCTAAATAAAACACCAGGGGAAACCATCACAACGCCACACAAACTCTCCCTGACCAGCACTAAAACATTTCCTCCTAATAGCCCCAAACTACCCGCTTATTCTCTTTTCTATCACTGCCATTGTAAGCACCTGTAAACTGAGCCCATTGAGTTTTTCTCGCCGTGATAGACGTATCCATGCTTATCTGCACTCTTTATCGGTCTTCATTATTTCCCCAGCACTGGTTAAATTGGAAAAGCCCATAAGAGCGCGTGAATACATGGCAGGGGCAATAAAACAGAAAGACCCCCACTTCTCCAGAGGAAGAGGGAGATACATTGGGCAGATAGTTGGAAATATTTCTGCTCCCCCCCACAGCTTCATATCGCCAGCAGCGCAGATAAAGATACATTCTGCGAAATAAATCTTCAATAAGGGAACAAAAGGCGTTAGATGCAGTAATCTGTAGTGTGTGGCTACAGTTTATAACCCCGGCTGGCTTGTTGTTGCAGAGTAAGCGGACACCGGTGCAGTGATTTCAGCTAAAAGCCTCCGTGTGATGGTCCAGGGTCAGGCCGGTGTCATGGTGGGCCATCACAGCCGGACAGGAGCACTGCAGGAGGTGAGGAGGAGTCTGGTGGGATGGGTTTAAAGATGGTCATGAGCAAAATAACAATACGATAGCCATGTGAATAATACTAGGTTTTTTGTGTGTATTTGTCTATCGCAAAAAAAGAGAAAAGCCATGACTTTGAGCTTTGGTGAAAAGGCTCTGACACAGACCATAGTTTGGTTACAACATGTTGGTTTTTTATATTACGCTAAAGTAGAAAGAGATTTTATACATACTGCTTGTTTTTCGGAGGAAGATGAGGAAGAGCAGAGCAACCTGACAAATGCACTTAAAACACCCAAGATGCACAATGACTGGTGAAACCTCAGACGCTGTGTGTGTATGTGTGCGTGTATGTCTATGTGTATGCGTGAGTGTTTGTGTGTTCGTGGGTGTGCCTGCCTATGTGTATGTGTGTGTGTGTGTGTGCGCGTGCTTGTTTGTGTGCGTGTGGGTGTGTGTGTGTATGCGTGTGTTTGTGGGTGTGCATGCATATACACTGTATGTATGTGTGTGTTTGTGAGGGGGTGTGTGTGTGTTTGTAGGTGTGCGTGCGTATATGTATTTGTGTGTGCGCGTGTGTGTGTGTTTGTGGGTGTGCGTGCATATATTTATATGTGTGCGTGTGTTTGTTTGTGGGTGTGCATGCATATATGTATGCGTGTGTGTGTGTTTGTACACTAGGTGTGCATGCATATATGTATTTGTCTGTGTGTGTGTGTTTGTATGTGTGTGTTTGTGTTTGTAGGTGTGCGTGCGTGTGTTTGTGTGTGTGTCTCTGTGCATGCGCCTGCAGAGTGTTGCTCAGCTGAGAGCGTCAGGTCTGAGGCCTGTGTGGCTCCTGTGTAGGACAGGACTTATTTTTCTGACATTGTACTTTGTGTCCAGCAAAACCAAGGAGTGTGTTTCCAAGGAACAGATGTGATGTAATCCGTCTGCAGCGCGGACAGTTGTGAAAGCGCCCTGCTCTTGTTATTGAATAGTAATAGTCTTGTCAGCCACTGCCTCCAATTTCACAAATGGAGCAATAAATACACACTCCAGTACGGCTGCAACAGTGAGAATAGCTGTAAAGTATGTGTAGCCCCAGAATCACAGCGGAGAGAGCACAATGTGGGAGAATTTGACGAGACTAAGTGATGAAAAGTGCGAGTGTGAAGTATGGCCGTGCGTTTGTGTGCGGGGCACTCTGGATTTCTGTGCCACCAGCTCTCCTGGGCTTTTGCGTGCTCTGTTTTCCACGTAAGTGTAATTCGAGGCTCCGGGTTGATACAAAGTGTATGCAGCAGCTCCGTTCAAAGCCAATCACTCACCCTGACGTGTAATCCTTTCCCTCGCCATCATCAACGCTGCTTTGGGAATAATGAAACACACTTAAGCAATTCACAGCAGTCATACAGCTGCGAGCGGGCCGCATCTTGATGAGATGCCTCGTAACTCTAATGAAACGTGTTTTGACCTGTCAATGGGCCTAAAGGATTGCAGCGCTACTGTATCTGTGGGAAACATATTGATACTGTACCAATATCTGGACCAAGCAGTGGTTTGCATGAGACACAAGAAGCATGTCGCCTTTAAAGCAGCTCTGTATGTGATTGAGTCTCTCCAGCGCCTCGCAGAAGTAAACATGTTAGTGACACAAGTTTGTGTAAGCTCTCAGTCGTACATGGATTAGTCAAAACAAAGGAAGGTGTCTCACCCATCATCTGTACTTCAGATGACATAGTGCCATATGAACCAACTCGGACTCTGAGGAGCACAGGGATTGACCTACTGCTGATACTCTGAGGAGCACAGGGACTGGTCTCCTGCTGGTGGTCAGAGTCAGGACTAAACATGCAGAGGAAACATATCTAATTTATGCAGCTGGAGCAGACTTATGGAACAGTCTTCCTGGAAATATGAGACAGGCTTCTTCTCCGACAATGTTCAAATCCAGGTTAAAAGCAATTCTGTTCAGCTGTGCATACAACTGAAGGATTCTATATTTAATTATTTATGTTTGCATAAATGTAACGTCTTCTTTCTTGTTTCTCGTAACGCACTTTTCAGTTGCCTTGCGAATGAGCTGTGCTATACAAATGAACGTTCCCTGCCTTCAAAAACGTTGCTGGACAGTGTCGAGAGATATGTAATTGTTGCCGTCTTCTCTCCTCTCTTTAAAGCCGTCTCCAAACCCGCGACGCCATTGTTTCCATGTAGCGGATTATTAGTATTAATTGGCAGCAAGACATTATTTCAAAAAGGGAAATTGGCTGTTATAATTACACAGAGGAGGGAATACTGTAAGTCCCTGGAATATCAGCTTCCTGAAATAATGGAGCCGCACCCGCCCCCCCGCGGCCCCCCACCTCCATCAGCGAGCGTGTCTGTCTGCCTGTTTCCTGTGACCGATCCATTTGCAACAGCTCGCGGTGCGCCTCTGGATGCTTGAATGCTTGGATGAGTCGGTTGGTGGCTTGGGTGGCACACAGCTGCATGTCTGTGAGCTGGGAGTGGAGATGGGTAAATACACAGGGACAGGGCAGGGTAGGGCACGGTAGGGCAGGTCGAGGGCAGGGTAGAGGCGCCAGGAGAGCAGAATGGGTAAGTAAGACACATTATCCTGCTGGTAAACAGACACAGGGTTTACCAAAGTTGCTCATAGTACAGTATGTAAGTATAAGTAAGGTAGTAACGATACATTCCTCGCACTAGAATATACTGTATTAATTGGTATATACAGCGAAAGTATTCGCCCCCCTTGAACCTTTCAACATTTCGCCACATTTCAGGCTTCAAACATAAAGTTATACAATTGTAATTTTTTGTCATGAATCAACAACAAGTGGGACACAATCGTGAAGTGGAACAAAATTTATTGGATAATTTAAACTTTTTTAACAAATAAAAAACTAAAAAATGGGGCATGCAATATTATTCGGCCCCTTTACTTTCAGTGCAGGAAACTCACTCCAGAAGTTCAGTGAGGATCTTTGAATGACCCAATGTTGTCCTAAATGACTGATGATGATAAATAGAATGCACCTGTGTGTAATCAAGTCTCCGTATAAATGCACCTGCTCTTTGATAGTCTCAGGGTTCTGTTTAAAGCACAGAGAGAACCATGAAGACAAAGGAACACACCAGGCAGGTCCGAGATACTGTTGTGAAGAAGTTTAAAGCTGGATTTGGATACAAAAAGATTTCCCAAGCTTTAAACATCTCAAGGAGCACTGTGCAAGCAATTATATTGAAATGGAAGGAGTATCAGACCACTGCAAATCTACCAAGACCCGGCCGTCCCTCCAAACTTTCATCTCAAACAAGGAGAAGACTGATCAGAGATGCAGCCAAGAGGCCCATGATCCCTCTGGATGAACTGCAGATAACTACAGCTGAGGTGGGAGAGTCTGTCCATAGGACAACAATCAGTCGTGCACTGCACAAATCTGGCCTTTATGGAAGAGTGGCAAGAAGAAAGCCATTTCTCAAAGATATCCATAAAAAGTCTTGTTTAAAGTTTGCCACAAGCCACCTGGGAGACACACCAAACATGTGGAAGAAGGTGCTCTGGTCAGAACTTGTTGGCCACAATGCAAAACGATATGTTTGGCGTAAAAGCAACACAGCTCATCACCCTGAACACACCATCCCCACTGTCAAACATGGTGGTGGCAGCATCATGGTTTGGGCCTGCTTTTCTTCAGCAGGGACAGGGAAGATGGCTAAAATTGATGGGAAGATGGATGGAGCCAAATACAGGACCATTCTGGAAGAAAACTTGTTGGAGTCTGCAAAAGACCTGAGACTGGGACGGAGATTTATCTTCCAACAGGACAATGATCCAAAACATAAAGCCAAATCTACAATGGAATGGTTCACAAATAGACGTATCCAGGTGTTAGAATGGCCAAGTCAAAGTCCAGACCTGAATCCAATCGAGAATCTGTGGAAAGAGCTGAAGACTGCTGTTCACAAACGCTCTCCATCCAACCTCACTGAACTCGAGCTGTTTTGCAAGGAAGAATGGGCAAGAATTCCAGTGTCTCGATTTGCAAAACTGATAGAGACATACCCCAAGCGACTTGCAGCTGTAATTGCAGCAAAAGGTGGCGCTACAAAGTATTAGCGCAAGGGGGCCGAATAATATTGCACGCCCCACTTTTCAGTTTTTTATTTGTTAAAAAAGTTTAAATTATCCAATAAATTTCATTCCACTTCACGATTGTGTCCCACTTGTTGTTGATTCTTGACAAAAAATATTTTTTTTATATCTTTATGTTTGAAGCCTGAAATGTGGCGAAATGTTGAACTACTGTATATTTCTTCTTTATTATGCTAAAGCTAGATATGTTGTACTTGCTTCTTTATTATGCTAAATATAGATATGTTATACAGTACTTGTTATACTTTTATTTTAGAGTCAATGTTCATTTATTTTGTGCTGTGTACTCCTACTGTTCTGTTACTGGTGATGCAACACTGAAATTTCCCCACTGTGGGACAAATAAAGGATTTCTTGATCTTAATCTCAACCTATTTTTGTATAATGTGTTTCATAGGTCATACAAAGTGCTTCACAATGTTTTGGAATACAGATAGTATTCCATTCCCTCCACACATGGTGGTTAGTAGTACTAGGATGTGAGACTTCTGGGAACACCAGGTACCAGTGGGCTAGCTGCGGCTGTAAAGTGCGACACTGTTGTGTCCTTAGCCAAGACACTTCACCCACATTGACTTGTATGAGTCTGGTGTGTGCGTGAATGGTTAGCGGCTAAATAAAACCAATGCATCATTATTCAAAATACATTGTTTCTGTGTCTTTCAGCATTTAATTTGAGGTTGAATAAGGAAAGGGATACACAGATATTCTCGGCAGAAACATAGCTGTGTTCATAAGTTTACTTATGTAAACAAGTTTACTTATGAACACACAGTGGTCGATCAAGCTACTTTTTAGGGACTAGTGATGATAAAACTCACCAGTACAGAAGCCAGGCAAACTAAGAAAAACATGGAAGGAGTGAGATAGTGAGGTCCTCCACCTCACTATCTGTTGCTGCAGTAACACAAACTAAATCCATTGAATATTACATGTCAATAAATACTTTTGAATGTTTTAATTGTAATGCGATTTCTTAAAAACTTTTTTCCTGTAAATTGTGTAATAAATGAATACCGCCAAAAACAACTCACAGTTGACCCAAACCGGTTTCAGTAATGGGCCACATTTGCTGAAATCTGGTCAAGAACAAAACATTCTGCCACCGTATGTAAATGTATGTGGTGTGTGTGTGTGTGCGTGTAAGTATATGTATGTGTGTACATATAAACAAACACAACATAAGGCAGAGACAGAGTTCAGGGAATATTTAATTCATTGATCCTTTTTGAAAATCAAAATGTAAAAGTTACACAGATATTGATGCTTGAACGACCAGAGAAATGAGTGGACGCCAGTATCAGACGAGAAACGTCACAGGGAAAAGTCCAACAGAAGCAAAGCAGGGAGTCAGCTGTTCAGAAGGACCAGGTCTGACGCTCTGGTCTTCAGGAGAATGAAGTACCCGCTTATAGGAAGTGACGAGTGGACTGTGGGTTCAGGTCATTAAACATGCTTCACAAAGGGAAGAGGGGCCAGTGCTACAGGTACATGTGGTTTGGCAGGAGCGCTGATGAGGAAACGCTATTGGAAACATGATGGCTCAGGTGTCACATGATCAGTCTATGATTATGAGGTAGTAGTCAGCAGGGTGCTGCATACTTGGATGATAATTCGGCAACCTACTGTTTTAATGCTGATATATGTACAGACTTGTAAGACATGGTTTAGTCAACAAAGGGCAATGCTGCGAAATGAAAAGAAATGAAAAGCCCCTAACTGGCCGCTTCCTCCAAAGTCCACCACAAAAAACTAGAAAGTATTAGACACAGGTCTTTTTCAGGTGAATGAAATATATCTGATTCCAGTATTTTTTATAACGTAGTTTGAATAATGTTGTTGGTGGTCCCATTTGCTCAACACAATGCAAAATGTTGAACAAAAAAATAATACGTTTAAGGAAATCTTTCTGATATATGACTCACGTGGGCCAAGTACAGCTTTGAACACTTCTGAACTCAAAGTACACAAAAAGCTAGGACAGCAGAGCTACGTAGCTGGTGTCAGGTTGTGGGGAGGATGAGGAAGATGAGGATGAGGTACCAGAAGCACGGCAGTACTGAGGGAGACCTACGACACACTGGGTATTCCTATGTTCCAATGATCACAGTATCTGATGCTTGTGGGTTACACAATCGTCACATTACATGAGATTTGTCAGTAGTATGCACACGTTCTCACATGAACCATGGAGGAGCTGCAGTTCTGGTCATCAGGCTAAATGTGGCTCTGTGTCGCACTGGAGATCACACCTTGTACAGACGCCGTTTGAGCATGCTGACACTTTGTTACTTGCATAGCTATTCACATGTGCAGCTCATATCCTCACAAGACGGCCGAGAGGTGTTACTCTGCAGTGTCGACATGAGGTCAAGAAGAAGTGATCATGTGCCCACTGTACTTGTATGGGACAACAGCCTGCTGCCGTTTATAAATAACTTGTGTGAGAAGTGCCACCACTTCAGGCCTGCACCTGCCGTTTACCTCCGTTGGGTTGGAGCTCTATAAATGCAGGCCCAGCTATAAAAAGGCAGAGGTATCTAAAATGGTAGGAGCAGATGCTGCACACCTTGCTCCCTGTGTGGGATGACTTGGACATGGCTTTAGGAGCCCCAAAATAGAGGTTGACATATGGGCCTGTGATTGTTTGAACACAGAATCTGAACTTGAGCCACTCACCATAAATCCTTTGATACCAGCAGCCACTGATCATCTTTCACCTAGCTTGAATCAGGCCTATGCACGCCAGTGGCAATTTCCAAGGGCTCAAACAAAGGCTAAATTTGGCTTCAGTGGGCGACATGAACAGCACTTATTCAGACCAGAGAATGGGCTCAACTCTAGAGTGAGATGGAGAGACAAAAGCAGTGCTGAGAAGCACATAGAGAACTACAGCTTGACCTGGCTTAGCTTAAAGCTCCTCCTATTTCCGAGGTCTACGGATAAGATGAGTGACTATTACAGCAGCCGATGCTCGTATGGGTTCATTATGAGACCAGTGAGACTGCAGACCAGTCTGAAGCAGACCAGTGAAACTGCAGACCGGTCTGAAGCAGACCAGTGAGACTGCAGACCGGTCTGAAGCAGACCAGTGAGACTGCAGACCAGTGAGACTGCAGACCGCGTGGTGCACTTCTCTGTAGAGGTATATCCAATAGCACTTAAACTGATAACAGTTCACATTAACCATTCATTTTTTTCCCCAGGGGAAAACAAAGAGATGATAGAGACCAACTTCACCAGACTTTAAACTGTACACGCAGTCATTCAATAGTAAATATGTACAGTACATGTCCTGTCCATGTCCAGGGAAACACAATATGAACAGGTGCACCTCTGCTGCCTTCAATTAACATCAAAAGATTGTTACGTTTTCTTAAAAACACAGGCTTTTGACTTGTTTCTCAAAAACTGGCAACAACTTATTTAGAAGGGCTGTCCATTTGAACAACATGAACACTGACAATTAACAAAAAATCATTACTGTACATAGTATTTCTTATATATTTTAAATTATTCTTCATCATTCATTTTATATTATACTAATAACCAAGTTTGTTCTTTTTTCAGTAGTCTCCATCAGCATGAGTCACTCCTGCACAGTCTTCAGGTTCCAGCGGAGTCCAGCGGAGTCCAGTGGTGTCTGTTAGTCCCTTTAGACCTTGGCCTCCAGCATCTCCAGAAACAGTTTGTGCATGGGCACCTTGCCCTGCACCTTGATGCTGTAGAAGTGCTGCACTGCCTTGGTGGCGGTCTGCCTCAGCAGGGGCAGCGTCATGAGCAGTTTCCCTGCCCTCCGAGGGTCCTCCTGGTGCTGGCTGCCCTCGTAGTCCTGGAGAGCCTCGTGCAAAGCGTCCTGCAGCTTCTGCACCGCCTCCATGTCCTCTATGTGCATAGAATCTACAGGGAGAGCACAGCACGTTACAATCGGATCGCACAAAGAAAAACTGAGAGAACATTGTAGTTTGCGCTTGGAGACACTGGTAATATAACAGGAGTGATGGCAAATGGATTTTTCTAAAACTAAATTAAATCTGATGATTGATCTTTGGTGCTGTGTCAGTGCTAGGAACACATTATCAGTGTAACTCACTGCAACCCGATAAAGAATAGATCATAAACAAGAAGAGAAGCAATTGTGCTTTATTTATTTAGTTCTATATTCTCCTGTGGAGCAGGCAGGATGTTCTCATGGCCCCTGACCAGCACGACTGGAAATCAATGATCTCTTCTAACAATGGCATGAATAGCACCCAATCTCTGCTCAGTGAGGACACATTAAACACATGGCTGTTTCAAAAGGGAAACAATAAGAAACTGCTTCCATTAGAGAATTGAACCACATAAAAAGCCCCAATGCACCAAGTCTCTATAATAGAAGTCTGACCCAAGACAGACGCATGCAGAAGTGTGCGTGTTCTATCTGCCATTAGACCTTTATTAAATATCCTCTGTGTCCTAATCCAGGCAGAGTACTTTGCTGACAGGATAAAAACCTCTCTTCTCAGATTGTGTTAGCCTAGTTCTGTCCTAGTTGGTGTTAAAGATGTCATCAGGGCAGCTATGGTTTCAGTTTGGAGAGCCTCTGTGCGGTGTTCCTCTCTGCTCTAACGTTTCGCCGCAGAGCCGTGCGCTCAGGGACGCTCAGGGTTGTGCGCTCTTCGCCGTGTTAGCGCGCTCGCACACACAGGAGACCGCGTGTCATTGGCTGCCTCACTGGTCTCACCTTGCCCGCACATATTTTACCGCGCGGGACAATAAAAAGCAAAACAGATTTCAGACTTCGCCCCAAATTCATTGACTGGAACAACTGTATTCCCAAGACCTTGAGACATTTCTCACCCTGACGATTTTCAAACCCACAGCGGTAAAATGAAGTAGGTCATTTTGGAAAGTGAAAATGGGAAGGAGGGAGGGGCGGAGAGGACGGTAGAGAACAAAAGACAAAAATCGAAAGTGCTGTGACATAATTTTGCTACAGCAGTGGTAATAACAACAGTGTAACTTTGTCAGAATTGTCTCTTATTGGCAGCGCGGGCTCTTAATGGTACGCTTAAGCTGATTTGAATGCAAAGTGCTGCGGTGTTATGGCTTCAAGTGGATGGAGGATATAAAAAGAGAGATAGAGACATCAGAACAGATGGGGGGACAGAGGACAGGAGACGCTGCGTGTGTAATAGTCCTTGGAGCAGGCGCGGGCTTTAAAAAAAAAAAAAAAAAACAACTTTGAAGAAACAATTTCCTCACAATCCATCAGCAAGGCCGCGTCGATCCGATTGATAAACTGCTAATTACAAAATCAATCGCTATGAATTTTCACAGCTGTCAGACAGAGGGGTTCCCGGGAGAGTGATCTTCCACAGACCTTGTTCTAATGCGCCCCTCCTTTTCCTCCTCCTCCTCCCTTCTTCCCCTTCTGTTCGACCCTCACGTCTCCTCTCTCCGCTCGCCCCCCTACCACCACCTCTGTCCCAAAGCCGCGCCAGTCAAAGCAAAGCCCTACCATCAGCGGTTTTCTTTTTTTTTTCAGGACCGGGGACAAAACGCGCCCGCTTGACCCAGGCTCGCATTGATCAGAGCGGGGACGGCTGCTGCCTTCTCAAAAGCGCCCTGTCGATAGCTGTGCGGCTTGCTTGGTATTGGAATAAATGAGGCCTATCACTCCCTGATACTTATTCCATTGGACTTAACACATTTTATTGACAGCTCCCGCGCTCAGAACGAAATGCTAAATTTATCTCTGCTGGCTGCTGTGCCCCGCGGCTACTGTTATGGAGATAGAAAAAGAGCGCAGGAGACATACCACAATATAGAAGGCGTTCAATTAGAAAGAATGTGTCCTCGTGCTCTTCACCCGCACCAGCCTTATCGTTCCATATCCCCCCCTCCAAAAAAACTAAAGGTTACACAAAACTAGGAGAACTCATCAATGTCAGCCCTCAAAAACTTATTATACTATTATATTTAGCATGATGTATCTAAATTTGAGCACATTTTGACTACCTTAAAACAAGATTAACCAATGGGACAAAAATGATCTTGTTTTAAAAAGCTACAAGAAATGTGTCCCTTGGAATCAGAAAATAAAGCAAGAAATCTTGAAATAAGACCAAATGATTTTGTCCCATTGGCAAATCTTGTTTTAACACAGTCAGAATGTACTGGTGCTCCAATTAAGAATAAAACCACTTGATTTAAGCAATGACTACCTCATATTTGATATTTTTTTATGCCATGTATGACGGTTTACATTACTAATATTAGGGATGTTCATTCAACAGTGAAGACAAAAAGGTGAAACTTAAAAAATATTGTTCAAAATACCAGTATATGATATAGTCGAGAACACAGCTAAAGTGAACAATAACTCTACTAGTACTAGTACTAAAATACAATAAAATTGAATAATAAATAAATAAATAAAGAAGTATAAAATCTCTTACAGTCCATTTTCAAAATAGTCTAAAAGTCCAGTTTCAATGTTTTTTTTTCAAGTTTATACATTTGTACAGATAAAAATATCAACATAATAACAAATGCCATCCATCCATCCATTTTCTTCCCCTTAATCCATTTCTGGGTCAGGGGGGTGGCAGTCAGAGCTACACCCAGTACACAGAGCACCAGCCCCTCACTGATCCTCCTGCAGGTGGTGAGTCCACAGGAGCCTTGATCTTTCAGTGGGGGCTTCAGGCAAAGTGGGGTTAAGTGTCTTGCCCAAGGACACAATGACAGCAGTCGTCAGTGGGAGTCGTGAAGTAGGTCTTGTGGTGGGCTCGAACCCACAACCTGCAGGCTCAAAGGCCAATGCTCTACCAACTGAGCCACTGTCGCTCCAATAACAAATGAAGGCTCGGTATATCTCAGTTTGCTTGTAATGAACCATATTTTAGTTTCACATTGAATTGCAAAAATAAATGAGCTTTTGAATGATATTCTAATTGGCTAATTCAAGATCCAAGAATCAACCAGTTTTGATTCTCGGATCTTGAATTAGCCAATATCTGTTGTTGGTTAATCGAGTGGTGATAATCCAGGAAACAAAACATTAACGACATTTATGGACTAATGGCTCTATGTAAATTTTATCCCCTAATTTCCTGTGTTTGAACTGTTGTTTGTGAATCGACAACTTTGTACATTCTACTGTTGTAATTTAGAGCTATACCTGTACAAGAAATCGTTGAATTGAAATGAGTTGAATTGACTGGCTCACCTGAGTTGGCCAGAGCGATGGCTTTGAGCGTGACAAACTCCTCCTTCTCCACCTTGAGCTTCTTGTACTTGCGCACCAGCTGCAGGATGGACAGGTACAGGTCCAGGAGGCCGGTCAGCCGCGAGTGCTCCTCGTCCATGATGTAGTCCTCGGCGTAGACCAGCTCGTCCTGGTACGGCAGAGAGCGAAACACGATGCTCAGGATCAAGATCTCCATCCAGGCGCTCTGCAGGAGGCTCATCTGGTCGCCCAGGGACAGGGTGGAGAAGCCTGAACACACAAGAGCATTCACTTCAACAAGACTCAATCATATATGTTCATTTAGTATGTTAGAATGATCAAAAACAGCACTCGTTCTTTAGCCTGAGTCCTGGATCTTTAGCCTGGGTAGGAGCGGGTCCACCTCTCTCTGTGGGTCTCTCTGAGGTCTCTCGCTTTGTTCCCTTTTTTTATTGTTCCTTGCCGATAAGATAAAATAAAAATGTATTGATCTCACAATGAAAAAATGTCCATGTAACATTTGTCTTCAACAAGATCCCTCTGGGTGTGCAAACAGGCGGGAAACGTGCAAACAGAGTAGATATCGTCCGACGTACAATAAAGGAGAAGGTATTTCTTATGTACAATTTTCCGGAGGGTTTAAGGACAGTGATGATCCAGGATGTTTATGTAAACATATTTTTACATTTACAAATAGTTGTCATCCCGCTCCCTATGCACCAATGACTCCTATGGGTTTGTTATTTTTGCATTTCCTGTGTTTGAACTATTTGCTTCTCTGATCTGTGTTGGCAAATTGATAACTTTATAAAGTTGTTGTAGTCTTTATTGTTAATAATTAATTGAACAAAACAATAAAAATGGAAAGACATGAGATGACAGCTGTTGGGATTTAGGGCTATACACAAATAAATTGAACTAAATACTAAAAGAATGTTATCGATCAACACAGATAAAGTTGGCAATCAGTGGAATTTTAACCAGACGCAAGTATGTCAGTATGTCAGACTCAGCAGAAAAGCAGCAAACAAAGTTATGGAAATCTTTCGACCCAATAAATGTAATATGTACAAAAAAAATTGGGTTTGTAGATTGAGTCTGTTTATGTAGCCAGTTAGCTAGTACTATCGTCAGTTTGACAATAATATAAGGCTGCGTTGCTCGGAAGATGTGAGAGACAGTAGAAGACCAGAATAACACTGGGCAAAAGAAACTTAGAGTGGCCTTGTGAAAAATGAGAGGCAGGACTTCTGGTAAAATCTTTAACCAGGACAAATCAAATTAAATTAAAAAGGTCTTTTTTAAAGAGAGTCCTGTCCAAGAGGCAGCTAAGTTACACATTGAACATAAAAGAACATTGTGACCGCCTTAAAAAAAGATTTGCCAATGGGACAAGCAAAATTATCTTGTTTTAAAAAGATACAAGAAATGTCTCCCTTGGAATGAGCAAATAAAACAACAGTTCTTGAAATAAGACTAAATGTCTTTGTCCCATTGGCAAATGTTATTTAAAGAAGTCAGAATGTACTCAAGTTAAGATAAAAACTTGATTCAAGCAATGATAACCTGTTATTATATAATCTTTTGCAGTGTACAGTTTGAGAAGCTGTAATTATATAAAAAAAAAAAAACAACTCAAATAACTTCAGTGTGAACTACAACAAGGTCAATGTTTTGTATGTTGTATGTTGTTTGTGGGGATGAAGCCTCCACAGCACACTGACTGCAGTAATAAAGTGCTTTATTTAGGACAAGAATGCCAGGAATTACTACAAAGTCTAATGAATCACAGACAGCTACATTTGTGGCCATTTACAGCTGATGTCTTCACAGAAGGAAGTGTGGAGCTGCGCAGTTTAAGGTCCTTGTATTCCCTTTTTTCCCTTTGCCAAATCTTGTTTTAATACAGAATCTGCTCAAATCAAAATAAAAACACTTGAGTCAAGCATGACCTATCGGAATAATTAATGATTGTCTTGTGTTTCCGTCTGTTTTATATTTAACTCGTACAAAAGTTTAATTGAATTGAATTATTATTAATATTTTCATTAAGCACAATAATAATCAAGACAGAGAAACAACAGGTACACAAGCACAACAAAAAACACATCAAAGACAAACAAAGGACAAACAAACAAAAACAAAACCGAAACAATTATTTCTGTCACATTCACACAAAACTAAAAATGTCTAATGGTCAGAATTTCTTTCCAATGACAATGCGTCAAGAATTTTCTCTCATCTTTTTTGGCGTTTTTCTTTTTCTGTTTCAACTGAGCAATCATCTATACTGTGATAATGCTCAACATACGAAACAAAAGCTTGCCGTATTTAAAGATCTTTCATTACTAGACTTAAATATGAATTGAATTGAATTATTATTATTAACCTTATACCCGTTGTTACTTAAAAAAAAGGCTGCGTACAATACCAAATCAACAATGGCCGCCACTATTATTATTAACGTCATAACTGCTGTTGCTTCTAACCAGCTATAAATAGACCTCCACAATCATCTCGCCCACACAATGAGAAATCGGGAGCCGAAGATTCCCACGTTTGTCAGAGCTGGTGCCGGTTTTTTCAGGAGCCACAGCCTGTATAATTTGATATGCATGTTGCACGGTGTCCTTTTGAAGGCCGGACCACAGCTCTTGAGTGGGCTTTAGTGTGAGTTGCGGACAGGCCAGAGGTCTGAGAGACACAAAGCCCCGGTTACCCCCTTGTATCCTGTCACACTAGAGCTGGTGCGAAGGGGGGATTATCACCGTGCTCCGGCCTCGTTGCAGGGGTTGAGGACATGGCATGTACACAGACACACAAATGCGTCGACAGCATGTAGGCGCACCTGAGCAGGAAGACGTCACCGAAAACAAACATGCAGAGTTTAAGTCGGGCCACGGTGGGGTCACAACTTTCCCACATCATCGGCTGAGGGGCTCTGCTGTCGCTTCCCATCGCAGGCCTTAGAATAGAGCTGAGTTAAACAAACCAGGAGATCTCGCCTAGATGACTTGTCAATCGATGGCCGCTGTCAGACTGTACAATAAGTCACTTTAAGTCACTAATGCAGGACTGAAAAAATCAGCACTGCTATTGCCACTCTTTTTTATTGTACATAATTATATTCTGCACAAACTAGATATTTAACCTTTACCATGTTTGCACACTTCTGCACAATGAGTGATTCTGTCCATGCCAAATGTGAATTTTTAATGTAAATTTCTCCAGTGTGAGATCAATAAAGTCTATCTCATCTTAACTTTTTTTTCTGAATAATATCTTAAGATTATTCAGTGATTTTTCAGTAATTGTGGTCATTTTAGAAGAACATAACAGCTATACAGTATATTCATTTAATCTTTTGCTCTCAATGTTACTTTTCCATTCGAACCAGCATTAAAGGTCTATATTATCTTGTGTTTATTATCTTAGTCTTAGCATTAAATTATTATTATATTATTGTTATTATTATATTTTTTCCCGTGTGTTAAACCAAATATATACAATTTATTTTCTATATCTATATTTTTATGGTAGAACTAGGCCTATGCTGACATATGAACTTGGAAAATGAATTGAAACCCGTTAGACAAAGACAATTCTCATCAAATGTCACTGCATGCCTCCAAACATTTGTAAAATCATGGGGAATTTTCTCACTAAAATTGTAACCTGACTTTCTTAGCGGTCAATACTGCTCTCTCTCTCCATCTCTCTCCCTCTCTCTCTCTCTCACACACACACACACACACACATACTGCCTTTTCTCGTCTCCTCCCTCTTGTCCTGCCGCGCTGCCCCAGCCTCCAGGCGACCCATCCTGACAGCATATTAGCTCCTGGGCTCCACCCCTGATTAATATGATTGCTTTTTACAAGTTTGCTATTGTCAAAGCCGCTGCCAGCCCATGATTAACAGGCGATAGATTACAGTATTGACCAGGGCTGCTCACCAAAGAGACGCCCCCGTTTTCTCTTAAATATAAATGATCTGTGCATTCGTGGCTCGATGTTTATCTGCTCCTGGCCGGGTGCTTTGAACACACGTTTATAGAGGCCCGCTAGAATGAGAAACATGATGAGGAGGAAGTGTGTGGGGAAGAGAAAAACAGTGCAGACAGAACAGAGGAGCTGGGCGGAGTGCTCTCTCGGAGTGTTCCATTTTCCTTATCGAGGTGATGACCACTGCAGGGAAGAGCTGGAGGATACATTAATTAACAGATTGTGATCAGAATGTGAGGGCCTTCTCGTTTTTGAAGGGGAATCAATAGTCAGTAGAATGGTGTGCTAGCAAGAAAGGTGCTGGACCGGTCACAGGTCTGCAGAGCCTGAATTAGACCCAACAAAATCAAACTGCCAAAAGCACTCAAGACGCGCGCCTATTATCAGTGAAGGCAATAAGCCATATTTGGGGAATGGAAAATGCATCTTAAAATGTTGTGTGATTTCCTTGTCTTGCATACATGGCCATTAACTTGGACAGCCGGTGTGGACTGGCCGGAGGGAGATTGTCATGCGAGCGGAGATGCGGTCTTGATTGCTGCATCAGGTTGGCATCACAATCACAGACGAGGCTTTGTGTCTAGCCTTTTAATGCCAAGGAGGACTCAAGCGGAACTAAAACTCTGCTCCCAATGTGACAGGCGGTGTGAAGGCCTGGTTTGGGGCTTGTTGGAGAGGCTTTCGAGCTGCTCAGACACCTTTCAGCCATATGCACGCTTACGCCGCAGCAGCCTGCAATTACCTTTGACGCTAAAAGTCCTTGAATTTAATCCAGTGTTGTGAGACGGAGAGGTGGTGTTTTTCCCTGGCTACGTCCCCCTCTTCTCAGGGCCTAAATTATCGCTCCAAATGGGATCTCGTGTCGTTGCCTCGCTTTTTTTCCACTCAATTTAATCGAGTAATGAAGTGACTTCCCGACTCCGCAGGTCACGCAGTGCTCCGGCCGCTGCACTCTGAAGGTGGCCCGGTTAAGTGCCGTCGGAGTGGGTGATTTCCTCTAATGAAATATCAATATTTACATCTTCATTTCCAGCCCACTGCTTTGGCGGGCTTTGACCAAACATGACACAATATTGACCAAAGCAGAGGCCTGTCTGAGTGCTTGAAGGCCCTTTTCCACTCCACTGCTGAGAGCAAAGCCTCCTCTGTCTACAGGATTTGCAGCAGTCGCGACGCTCGAGCCTAATGATAACATTTGTGTTCCTTTGTTCTCTGCGATAACGCAACGATGGCGGCGCTCCTAATTTTGCGCAGTAACGCGCGTAT